AGAAGGGAGAAGGACAGGGCATCATGATTTCCGGCACCATCGTGGGCGACGTTGGATTTGTCGAGGGCACTCAAGAGGACATCGACAAGGCCCAAGATCTGCGGCGTGAGCGCTGCCGCATTTCGAAGGAAAAACACGCTGCAGGTGATCAGACCAGGCCTGAAAAGTACCGCGACATCAACATGCTCTACTTCGAGGGCGAGGGCGACGACCGCAAGTTCTCGACGTACTACAAGTTCGAGTACGGCAAGAACAAGGAGGGCTACTGGACGGGGGAGAAGATGATCGAGCACATGGCGGATGTGTTGGATCTGTTGGCCGTCAAGTTCCCGAGGCACAGGCCCATCTGTTTTTTCGACTGGTCATCGTGTCATGATTGCGTTGAGGAGGGGGCACCGAGTGTAACTAGGATGAACGCAGGGTACGGGGGGGTGAGAAAGGGTCAGGAGATAGCTCCTCAGAATGCAACTACCATACTGGAAGACACACCTAAACTGAAGGTAGGGGCGGTGCAGCACCTCACCTTCCAGCAGGGAGAGTATCCATTCTATGAGCCAGGCGCCACCGATCACGTAGGCAAGGTCAAGGGGATGAAGCAAATCCTGTTTGAGAGGGGGCTTTGGATCCCAGGGACGACCGTGTTGGGGGGCAAGAAGGGTCAGGAGCCTAAGCCGAAGATGAGCATGCCGGTGGTGTTGCGCGCGCAAAAGGATTTCGCGAACGTCGACTCTAGTCTAGAGGTTCTCTTGAAGCGCCACGGAGGGGTTGCGCTCATGCTTCCAAAGTTCCATTGCGAGTTGAACCCGATCGAGCTTGTGTGGGGTAGATCCAAGTGGTGGGTCCGCAGGAACTGCAAATACACTATCGCCTGCTTGCGAGAGAACGTTTCCAAGAGCTTCAGGGTAGACAACTTGAGCCTAGACATCGTTCAAAAGTTCTGCCGGAAGGTGGCCAACTTCCACGCGGCGTACGACGCAGGGCTTACGGGCGCCAAGGCGGTAGATGCGCATGAGAAATGCAAGTCGGACCGTAAGCCGGCTCCATCCGAATACATTAACCCCAAGTAACGTATGCTAAGAGTCGGTACGTTGTGTATGGGGTTCGAAAGAATGACCTCAACTTTTGCTTCTGTCGGTGTCGGTTGTCCACGAAGTTTGTTGTCCGTTTTTTTTTTCGACCGGCTGCGTTTCCCTCCCGGTCGATACGATCGGTAGTATCGGGCAGGCGATGTGCTGTATGTAGAAGACTAGTATTTTGGCAATCGTAAAACGTAGTGCGAGGGAGTGTTATCGAGTGTAAATACAGGGTTTTCCCAACGATGAAGCGAAAACAACGAAATGTCAAGCGTTGAACGATAAGTTTTGCGACCAGAAAAGGGGGGTACAATCTCTTGTGCCCGCCTTCAAATGTGTATATCTACTTGTTAAGTGATTTTTCTTTTTTTTTAGGGCGCCATCGCATTCGCCTGCTCAAACCCCGCCGATACCAACCAAGAACAAAAAAAAAAACGGCATGATTACGATAGTGGTTATCGAGATATTGGACGAAAAGTTTCATCCCCTCCCTCCCAAAAACGCCTGGAAAAACCTATACGAAAACCACAAATTCTCAGAAACGTCTCAAATCGATTTGGTCCCTGAACAATTCTTGTGGCATTTGTGATGGAGATCAATACAAAAAAAAAACAACTATTATTTGGTGAAGTTATGGCCGGTCAATTGAAATCGGCGGGACAACCGGTGGAACTGTAGAAGTGGAGGATAGGGGCCAGAGGGGCAGACGACAGAGTCCAATGATGGGAGAAAAATAAACAAACAAAAACAAACAAAAATGTGCAAAATCGGGACGCCTTCTGGACGTGCCGCGGCGCGACGACGCACACACCCAATACCGCACGAAGTCGCGCCACAGCGCTTCCACCCGCCGCGCACAAGGCGCGCCGACCCTCTCCAACCCTTTTTTTCCTGCTCAACAACCTAAAACAGTGTAGACGCAGCCGCGTACAAAACCCTCTCCGCAGACCACCCGATTTTGACCTCAAACCTGCAGGGTCGACCCCTACCCCGAGAAAAACATTATCTCCGACCCTACTTTGTCCATCTGACCACCACCCCTTTTTGTTCACCACAGCCGGTTCGAGGGGAGATTGAACGCGGCCATCGCCCCGCAGCACCACCAGCCGATACCCGCAAAAGAGCCACCAGCAAAAACACTCCGCAGCAGGCAAAAATACACCGACCGACAACAACTTGCCGCCCGCCGGCAAGCCACCACAACTGAAATCGACCGCCGAAAGAAAGATCCGACGCTGGAATCAACAGTCGCTCTGCAGCGAACGGACATTCGCGGAAAACTTCGTCCGCTCTGCCTTCTCGCCTCTCGCCACTTCCCTCTCTCCCTCTCCCGCCTTCTTCACAAGCGAGGGCGACGGCATTATTGGTGCAAGTAAACATGTCGGCGGCGGCGGCGGCGCTGGTGCCACCGCCGAGTAGCACAAAGGCCGACACCGTCAAAGCTGAGGACCAGAGAGATCCATGCGCGAGATGACAGCACTGCAAGTACAGCTACGACACGGGACGTTGCAGTCGTACCGTCTTCATG